TACATATGGTTTAAAATCCACTTTAAAAGGACACACAGGCTCAGATTTAATACCTGTCCACACTCATTATGAGGGCTGTGTCTGCTGTACCTGCTGTACCTGGAGATGTGAAGCTGTGTGGTTTACTCCACTGTCCCGTCTGGTAGAAATTATGGAGTTGAGTCTCGCTGATCTGCTCCCACCCTCGGACCGGAACCAGCAGCAGAGTCCCAGCCAGCACCACAAACAGCAGCTCAACCCTGACCCCAGCCATGGATCCAAGTGGAAGCCCTCCTGCGGCGAACTCCGGATAAAGAGGCAGCTGCTGCCAAACTACAAGCAGAGGTTGAAGTGAATTGATTACACCTGGTGGCTGCTAATTGGCTCGTTAAGGTCCCACTAACACCTGTGTGAGTGAAAACCTCCTGAATGCTGCAGGAAAGGGCTAGAACACCAGCCCTTTTTCATGTGTCTGATTTCATTTTATAATTATTTTAAAACAAATCAATTTATAATTATATAATAAAGAGTATGACAAATATTGTTTTGATTTTATGTTGTTCATTCGCCCTTAAATCTATTGGCATACAGTATGTACATGTTCTGTACACTTACCTATTCTAAAGTCCAAGTGGAAAAGGTTCCTTAATAAACATTTGAATTTTGAATAATGGACAAAAATGTAACTTTCTTCATTTCCAACAATTAACTTGAAAAAAAAACACCATGGATATTGGTTTAATTGAAGGTGCTTCATTGTTTTGTCTGTAATATTCTGTCACTCACATGTACAGTATGTAGATGCCATTAAACAAAACATTAAAATATATAAAATAGTTAACTCAATCTCTAAAAGACAATAAATTATATATTAGCTTCATTGTTTCCAGTTTTCACTCAAATTTATTAGAATCAGATGTTTTTTATTACAATTTCTAAAAGAAAAAGCAACATAATTACGTAATGTGAGTTTGTAGTTATTCCATGATGATAAATGACAAATCACACCTTCTCTTTAACTTGTAGAAAAATATAAAAACACACATTTCTTAGTGTGGCAAAAGAGTTTATTGCATATATTTCAAGTACACAAAAAACCATGTGTTCCACTTCTGTACCACCACTCAAACAGACAGACTATTCAATAGTCTTTATCGTTTAAAACACAATTTTCTTTAATTAAATCTTAATCTCTGGAGCCATTAAAAACAAACCTGGATATTTTTTAATAGTCAGAAAAAGAGACATTTTATTTGTAGGCGTTGGCTTTGTGTTTCGGCAAGAAGTTGAAATTCGTCGGTACGGGTCCAAGCAGCATCTCACTGGTGAGGGGACAGAGTGAGTGGTTATAATAGGTAGCGATAGGCTTCATTTGATTTTAAAATATGCTTCTGGACAGTTTTCTGCTCACCTGATCCTGACCCAGTCCCCAACGTGTTGACTGGCCATCAGTGACTCCAGGTAGTTTCTGCCCATGTAGTACGGAGGTCGCTCGTTGATCTTCTGAGGCACTCGCTCCAACAGGCCCACTGGAATATACCTGGGAGACAAAGATAGACGGAGGGGAAAAGTGAAGTATAATCATTCATAATCCACCGATTTGGAGCCACTAGTGTTGGTAAAAAAGGTATCAAATGTCCCTGCATACACTGATGAGATGACACCATGACTAACAGAGGGCGTCCTATTAAAATACAGTATTACTACCAGCGTGTACATACTGACTCTGAGTCTGTATCGAATGACAAATGGTAATGAACCCCGTCTGTTAGTTCATAGCAGGAGAAATACAATCTATTGAAGTTGCTGCCTACCTGCACATGAAGGAGAGCCACTCCAGCATGAAGGTGCGGATCTTCTCCACGCCTCGAGTGTCGGAGCCCCAGTGCTCCAGACCAAAGTTGGTGAAATCCCTGAGGATGTCCAGTCGCTCATTGGACGAGATGTCCCAGTGTCTGCTCTCCTTTATTTCGGTGAAGATCCAGGGCTTGATGAGAGCACCTCTGAAGAGAGACAACCACAACAAATGTCCAAACTGCAATGCGGATTAAACATTTTATTCACTGTCGAATTCAAGTTCACTACATAAACGTGGAGTAACTCCTCTTCTATATGGATGTACTATCCTCTTAGTTAATATAAAAGCAAGAAAGCTCAAGAAATAAAGTGCTGATGATGCTCCACAGAAACCCCATGTGGAAAACAAGTAAATCACAATTAGGTAAGGAAGCTACAAATAAGGCAGTAATGCAACAATAGAGCTCAAATTAACTGCTAATCAGCTGTGTGTGTCAGCATTTAAGGGGTCTGACATGAGTTTTAAAGACATTTTAAAAGGGACCGCTGGTTACAAAGGGGTCAAATAAACTCACGTCTGAACTGCAGTCACACCAGTTAAAAGAGTCAAAGTAAATAGTGCCAACATGTATGACAACATATAAGTTACTTCCAAATAAAAATAACATTTCATTCTTTATTGCAACAGAAGGTGGGAGACTTTCTTCTGCTTTCCAATATTCTGTCTCTACTGTGTTTAATCTCTTAAAAATGGCACCAACCTTGCAATCATAATACCAGAAACTCCAGTCTCTCTGGCTTTCATGGCGTCTTCATAGGAGAGAATGTCTCCATTACCTGGGACAATAAACACAGGTCAACTTCTCATCACCAGCAATAAATGACTGTTGAGCATGATTTTAAAACATTTCCAAATTATTAAAATGGAGGGTTTTTATTCCCACACAATGTTTTCTTAGCATTTGTCTAATGTTTTTTCCTATCTGCACTATATGCAGCTATATTCTTTGCAAATTCACATACCAAAAAGTGGGACAGGACTAGCCAGCTTGGAGCAGGTGGTGATATAATCCCAGTCAGCTAACTTAGTGTAGCGCTGCTCTCTGGATCGGCCATGCAACTGCAAGGAAACAACGGCATCAGTGATTTAATGACACCACAACTCATAAGAAAAAAGAGAGTAAACCAAGTCAAACATCATCATATGACTAAAATGAAAACTGAAATTATATATTTTTTGTATAATGACCTAAACCTGGAAAATCTTAAATGTGACTCCCATTACTTCATATTTTTCCACACTTGCTATGAAGCCATGATGACTAATGTTAAATATAGTTAAATAAATAAATTAACATAAAATCAGGGGAAATAACTGCTCAAACCCATTTATCTTTTCACATCTATTAACGTTTCTTCTACTACAAGACTTACTGTGATCATGGAGACGCCCCATTTCTTCATCTCAGGGATGAGTTTGTGAGCTATGTTGCTCTTCTCCTGAACACCAGTGCGGATCTTGACTGTCAAAGGGACATCAAGGACCTTCAGGCAGAAAGAAATCATGTTTTTATTCCGCTGATAACTTATATTTTAATACAGTCACTGTACATTTAATCCAAGCCAAAGACGAATATACGGTATAGTTATATTTTGTTTTTATTCATGATTTTTGTTCTATTTACTCCTAACAGCCAAACTATTTGGAAAAAAGTCAACACTATAAGACTGCCTACAATGAAAAACAAAACATTAGGTATAAAAATAAAACACTTACATAGTTCATTCCCTTGATTATCTGTTCAAACTTTCTGGTGCGTGTCATCAACCCGCAGCCTCCACCCTGATGAGGGAAAGCAAACAAACACCATCTGTCAGAGAGAGTCACACTGATGTTTGATACTGATGCCTCTGTGCTTTACACACTCAATCATAAAACACAAAGCTCTCACTGATCGTGGCAACATGATAGTAAAAAAAAAAAAAAGTCTGTCTGTGACGTCACCCAAGGATTATTCTGAAGCTTTTATTCTGGGTATAAAAGAGAGAGTGTTGATTTTAAGCTTTAAGGTGGGTCGTAATTTAACCACAGAAAGGTTTGGAAATACTGATTGAAAGAAATCTCACACTGTAGCATGTGGATAAAGCTGGAGGGAAAGACACAGTGGACATTTGCTTTGCCTGAACTGGTTTGATGAGATGTTTACCTTCTTGTAGACAAGGTCAATGGGGCATCCAGAGTTGATGTCCACAAAATCAACATCAGTGTTGTTGTTGATGAGCTCTGCACACCTCGTCATGGTGTCAGGGAAGCAGCCCTCCACCTGGACACACATTATGGACTTCAGAACTGAGGCCATCCTTGATAAAAAACTGCATTTCCACAAGCCGTGTTTATAACAACAACATGAACAGAGTGATTCAGCTCTTCTGAGGAGTCCCAATAATCGAGGATAAAATCACCTGGACGCCAAAAACATCTTCACTTTCGTGCCGTTTCAGCAGGGCCCACTCCGACTGCTGCCCCTGCAGCAGGTTTGTGCACATGGCCATTTCCCCACAGGTGATGTCTGCTCCAAAGCGCTTGCACACGCGACGGAAAGGCAGATTTCCACACTGAGCAAAGAGAGGGAATCATTCAGTCAGGTCAAACCCTTATTTAAAGGGCTGGGATTTTATATACTTGAGTTAAGTTTTATATAATGAGTTTGAAATAAAATCTGATTTGTTTGGCAGCATTTAAATATATAGCTACATCAAGAATGATGCTTTAGTGCTCAATTCAATTTATTCTGGTTGTACTTACAGTTGTTAAGGGAGCAAGGTAGAGCTTGTCCTGAAAGTCCACCTTAAACACAAAGACAAAAAAATAAAAATAAATCACTCCTTAGACATTAACCCAAACTACAAGTACAGAGATATAACTTCTGTAAATGTTTTAAATATTTATCTGTATGAGTTGGCTGTTATTCATTTGTACATTTATTTAGCAAGAAAAGAGACTACACGACTTGTTGGTCAACAAACTACCTTAAGAAAGTTGGCTGAAATATACCTGTTTCTTTTCACATGGACGCAACTTGATGACATCTACATCAGTCAGAGGGCCAATAGTCTTCACTGGAGGCTGTTTATCTGGGCTGGCCTGTAGCTTGTCATAAAGAAAACATGTAAAAATACTTGTATATAACAAACACAGACACATATATGTATATAAAGAGGTATTGCTGTGAGTAGAGGTTTGTACCTGTGTTTCTGCTTTAGTGGCCGCTTGCTGGTCTCCTCCCGTTTGATCTGCAGATACTTCAGCAGCACAGGCATCATCTAAAAACAACAACACTGAATTATAATATCACATTTTATTCAAAGATAATTTCATCAAATATGTCTGAAAAATACAGAAAATTTGGAAGCTAAACATATGAGCCGCAACACTGACAAACGAAGTAGCTCTTAAATCAAGGATGAACATTCATACAGGTTGTCATTCAACACCTGTTGAACTCAGCGGCCACAGAATGGCATCGTGCATGTTGCTGAACGATTACCACACTTCTGTCAGTGTCTGTGTCATTTAACACTCATTATAAGAGCAGAAACTCATGTGCACCGTCATTAAATTATCTACAAGCAACTTTTATTGATTTTAAAACGTCTTTAGTCGTCTCACCATTCCCCTGCTGTTCTCTTTTGTCTCTGTTGTTTGAAAGTGTTTTGAGGTACTCTTCTGACTTCTTGAAGGAGACCGAACGCTTCCTCAGGCGATTCTGGAGGTCTTTACTCAGGCTGTTCTTCACCGGGGTCTTCCCCTCGCAGGCTTTTATTAGTTCTGCGTTCTCCATGGTCTTGAAGTCAGGTGTAGTGTGCGCCTTGGCGAAGCGGCAGGTGAGGCCAAACGCACACTTTCCAAACGTGTCGTAGAGGTAGCAGCTTTCCTTGATGTCAGCGGGCTTAGTGGCCATGTACTCAGCGACGTCATGGTGAAAGTGGCATTTGTCTCCAAAGGGGCATTCCCTGTTGTCCTGCATGGATGGGGAAAGTCAGGGCATTAACTATCAGCTGACACAGCGATTGAGAAGTACTGTTTGTGGTCGTTTGTGAATGGCTGGTTAAAGTTTCATACCTGAAGGACTGAAAGACACAGTCGTTTTTCATCATAGGTGGTGGGCTTTGTGTGTGGCCTTGACTTATTCTGTCCTCGTATCCGTTTCCCGTCTGGTTTTACAAATTTGTTGCTCTCCTCAGAATCCAGTTTGAGCTTCTTGGCATCAGGTTCCACAGGAGGTGTCACCTTTGTCTCCTCGACTTTCTCATTTTCGCTGGCCTTGTCTCCTTTTGGGCCCCGCCACTCGGAGTCTACAAACCCATGGAATTTTTCTTTGGTTGTTAGGAATCTGCAAATGCAAGAACAAAAACAAACGTGTTCATCCTGTCCGTTTTGGCGGTGCAACAACCTAACCTGAAGACTGTATGAAATCGTGCACTGCTCTTAGTTTTAATTCATGTGTTACAATTTATGTGGCAGTCTTCATGTGTATTTTTGGCACAAGTCTTACTTTAGGAAAGCCATTTATTACCATTTATTCGGTAAGAATTCACATAATATTCTGTTCAGTTAATGGTACAATTAGGGGGAAGCGCCTTCAAGTGTGAGAGGAAGATTTGTCCTGTGCAAGTATTTATTTTTATACCACGCCACTACCTCCTGCTGTAACCTGTACAATATTCCACATCAATCACATCTGTATAAAAAGCTGCTAGTGTAAATACAACTATTTATCATTATATCTTGTATTTTTCTATTCTATTTTTATTAAATGTTTATTTTCTTGCTGTAGAGAGTGAATTCCCCCAATGTGGGATCAGTGAAGTCAATCTTATCCGGTTTTAAACCTGTGTTGGGCAGATATTTAGTTACTTACTCTGGTTTGATTGCAGCTTCACCCTTCACAGGTGCATCTGTCTTCTTTCCAATGGGTTCCTCCGTCGCTTTTTCCATCACACCTTCACAAGCTTTCTCCAAACGCCTCTCCTGAAACATGTTCATACATCAGCTCACAACTCTGAAGCCAATTAATAGAATAGAATAGAATGCCTTTATTGTCACTACAAACATGTTCAATGAGATTAAAAGCCAACTCCAATAAGCGTGCAAAAACAGTGTAAGAAAAATAAAAATATACAGTAATAAAACAGGACAATAAAGTAATAGTGCAAAAAAGGGAAGATAAGGTAGTTATAGAATAGAATAGAATACTTAGAAGAAAAGATAAAAAAGATAAATAGGAAAGGTAAGGTGGCAAAGAGTTGTAGTTGCAAGATTGGTGGTAATAGTACTGATGACATGAATGGTAGTGTTATTGTTAATAACAGTACATAAATGCATAATATCAATAATATTTATAATAATAATATAATAATAATGTATATATGAACTGCACAGTCCTGAGGAGTATGTACATTTTGTAAAAATAAATATGTGACTATATACTGTTGTTAAATATATAGAATAATTGCACAAATAACTGTTGTTAAATATATAAATTTGCACAAATACTGTTGTTAAATATATAAATATTGCACAAATACTGTTGTTAAATATACTAAATAATT